AAATATCTATTATATTCCAGGAATATTGCTAAACACTGGACCCTTGTAAAAGAACCGGAAAGACAAGAAAGATCCCTACCCTCACAGGAAGACAAACAAGCGAGTAAACAATAAACAAATGAATGAAACAACGATAGATTCTGAGTGGTAGTGTAAATGAACAGAGGGGTGTATAGAGGACTGAATAGACAGAGGGACTGGTTAGGTACTGGAAGGTATAAAGGAGCATGGCCACTGGAAGAACCAGGGAAAGGGGCCAATTGGAAAGCCCTTGGTTCCAGTCTTATCCTCTGTGGCCCCGGGTGACAAAAGGAGGCTGAGTGAGGCGACTTCTGCCCTAGCAGTGTTAGGGCCATATTTTGGTGTAGTCCATACTGTTTGAACTCATCTAACTAGATCTAACTAATATAGACAGAGAAGTCTTTAAACAACTGAGAAAAAAATGTGGAATTAAGACTTGGCTGGAAGAGTGCCTGTAGAGACACAAATCTTGACATTTCCTGATCTCCTTAACATTTTTCAGTCAAAGTCAGTTGTTCAGATTTCCGTCTAAGAACCAATCTTAGAGATTGGATAAGCAGGTGGGAGTCACGAACTAAATGTCTTCACATTCGGGGCAGGTGTAATGTGATGAACTAGTCAGAGCATAGAGCGGAGTAGCTGCAGAGGCCACGTCCATTCTAAGCACGCAGCGGGTCCTCGTCACGTGGAGAATGCAGGTGCACTGTTGCTGGAGGCTAGGATTGACAAAGAGCTGGAATCCAAGCATTCCTGTGGAAGTCCCACCTTTTTTAATGTTGCCAGCTAATGAAATGATTAACACTGGGAAATATGTTCAGGTTACGGAACTCAAGTTCACACCAATTTGTTCGACAAATTAGTTGCAGAACCCCCTTTCTTATTTTCCAACAAGGAGGAAAAGTACAAAGAAATTGAGGAGCTTCCTTGGGTGCAGACTTCCAGTGAACGGCAGAATTAAGTCTAGATCTTCTCTGAGCTTATCTGGGGCTTGTTTCCCACTTCTTTCCACTATTCATGGCAGATAAGTCTCTAATGCATGATCAGGGAATAAAGTATCTAATCCTCAGTTCAGTAACCATCTCTGACTTTCCAAAAGAGAAAAACAGCAACACACTGCAACCCAGCTGAGCTGAACAGCAAGACACACAGGAAAAAAAAAAATTGTGAAGGAGGGATTTACAGGACTCAGTATCTCACCAAATCATGGGGTGAGGACTGGAAGGAACCAGAATAGTTTTGAGCTTGTTTGTTTTAACTTCAGGGTGGAAAATTTCACACATGTATTGAAGCAGAGAGAATGGCATGATGAACCTGCATGTGGGCAACCCAACTTTAATCATCAGTGATTTGCCAATGTTGTTCCTAAGGAGAATTTTACTTATAAGTACTTACTGGTACCAAGGTTTTAAACTTGGTGAGCCCAGTTTCAGAAAAAGGGCAGCCAGAGAGAGATACATTTTTGTGTGTGACAGTGGGGAACAGAGGGTAGGGGAAACATTGAGGGGGGAAAATACCATGACATTTATTTGGGAATGTGAGTTTGACATAGGAGATGTCTGGATTGGAGCAGAGTAGAGAATTCAGAAGTGAAGATCAAATTTGGGGGTCCCTTCCATAGAGATGATATTTGAAGCTGTGGATATGAGTCAAATGACCAGAATAAAATGTACAGAGGGGTGAGGAGAAAAGAGCAGAGCAGAGGACAGATGAAGAGAGGGGAGAGAGAGAGTGAAACGGGAGGAGGAGGAAGAAGAAGAGCAAGAGAACCCAAGGGCAGTCAAGCGAGGTTGGCAGTTGGTGAGGTGTGAACATTTCTGACACAGCAAGAAGAGAATCCCACCTGCTTCTATCATGATACCAACCACCTGTCTGCACCTGTGCCAGACCTTCCTGTCTCAAGAGGAGAACTGTGGGAATTCCATAGCAAAGCCACCCCCACCACCCCTGCTCAGGATCCCGCCCCTCCCACTGCTGCCTTCAGGACAGCGGACAGTTCCCCACCAGCTTTTCCTCCTCTCCCATGTCATGAATTTGCCTCTTCTTTATCTTACCATTAGGTCATCGACAGGCTGCTGTTTCTTCCACCAGCTACTTCCCCTCCTGTCCCCTTTTTCTGAAAGCAAAACTCTTTTGAAAGAGTTGTCAATATTTGCTTTTTCAAATTCTCCACCTATTCCCTGTTGAACTCACTAAAATCAAGATTTTCCCTCCATCATTCTCGTCCCTAATGTTTTTGTCAGACATGAAAGACCTAAATCCAGTTTTTGATTTTCAGTCCTCAGTCCTTACTTGACCTACCAGCATTATTGGAAACATTGATCATTCCCTTCTTCTAAAAATGCTTCCTTCACTTGGCTTCCAGGAAATCATGCTGCCTTGGTCTCCTTCCCATCTCACTGGCTTTTTCTGGTTAGTTTCTTTTGCTTGCTTCAGCTGTGGCTGGCTTGGTATGAGGGTGTGCACCGCAAGCAGTCATTTTTGGTAGCGAAGATAGAAGTAAGGTGGGAGACCGCCTAAGGGGTGGGTTTATACACATTAACTTTATCTTATTCCCTTTGTCTAGTAATTGACTTTTATTTTTGTGGAACTTCTTAAAAATCTAGGACATGTGCATCATTGTAGTTAGGCTGATTTTTGGTAAGAGAATCTACTCATGCCACACAGCCTAGCACAGTGCCTGTCATGAGAGACCTACACTAGGTAGTGCTTGTGTAAGTTATGAAATCCTGGATAAAGGGGCATCAGGTAGGTTTCCTTCAACATAAACATCGGACTTCCCTCCTCCTCTGTAATTATAGACAAATAAGGCCATTAATGTTTGGAAGCTGCCGTTATATAGAATATGTAATATCTCTCAGTGTTTTGAGATCACCAAATATTTCTTTTAGAATCATAGAAATCATTAATGCCATTTTTTCCATATTCTTGCTGTCACCATTATGACATGTTCCGTTTGTAGGACAGATCTAAATCAGAAGCTGATATTCTGAAATTCAGAGATCATTTGTGTGTCTGCATCTTTTTGCTGTTTTAGAACCTTAAAAAGTTTAGCATGGGACTAGGGCTATTAGCTGTGTTTTGCTATTATACTCCATGTCCCTTTTGGTAAAAATGCAGACTTCCCTGGAAAACATAATAAGTCAACCTTAATTATCTTCATCTAAGACAGTATAGTTTCTAATGTTGCTTCACTAAAAGTCGCCATGTATAAAAAAAATGAAAAGATTTATGCTCCAGAGTGCCCTGAAATCAGCAGAGACACACCTGCGGAGTTTGATCTCATATACAAGAGGAGAGCAATTAGCCCCCAAACTGACACATCCATGTATTAATGACTGACATTCTGTTGTAGCCCAAAGGTTACATTGGAAGATACTGTTCATGCATGAGACTGCAGAACTTAGTCTAATCACACTGTACTGATGGAGTCAGATATGATCTAACTGGCCACATCATTAAATGAAGGAGTGGCTTCCGATTTATTTTGTTTTATACTTACCCACCTGTTTGAAAATACCTCAAGTATATTTGTATTATCACTTAGATTTCTACTGAGACAGTAGAAACCCCTTTTGGACACTTTACTTAGACATTGGGAGCAATAAGTGAAGGAAAATGATGTACTGAAAAACAAAATAGGGCCAACAAAAGGGTAACCAAGCATAGTAATCTAAATGAAATGGTACACATCATCATGGCATATGGCACTTAGAGGTATTTTATTGATGCATTTAGAATTTCCTTTATGGGGAAATTAGGCTCATTGAATCCTATTTATGCCAATGGTCAGTCGGTTGGTGACCATCCAAATACAGCATCAGAGCATTATGTCCTTACCATTCCACAACGGTGTTTTGTTAGGAATATTTCTCCCATGCTCTGGGTGCTACCCTTTCCTTGGCCATTGTGATGCAAACCACTCCTGATTTTGTTTGTGCCTCTTCATCAGTGAGAGCCACCATGACAGACACAATTTCTGCCAATGGAGCTGAAGGCTGCAGAGTCACTGAGTTTGCCATCATGGGTTGCATGGGTATAGTATCATGCATGGTTTGCAATGCAATTTCTCTTTGCCATTTACTTTATGTTGCAGTGGATTTTTTTTTTTTTTGAGGCCCCTGCACCAACAGCATCCACATCACCAGAGAACTTACTAGAAATGCAAATTCTCAGTCCCCGCTCCAGAAGTGCTGAGTCTGAAACTTGGGATGAAACCCAGCAATCTGTGTATTGACAAGCTTTCCAGGTGATTCGGATACATAAAGGATGATGAAGCATTCTGGGGCTAGAAGTAATTAGAAGGTACAAGAGTAAAAAATGCTGAAAGCAAGCCAGGGAGAAATGGAATTGGGGGAAAGGACTCCAGACCAGAGCTATGGCTTTTCATGGAGGATTGCCAAGTGATGGCCTGGCAGAGAGGAAGCCAGGTCTCCTTCTTGTACTGTTCTCCAGTCACCTGCAGGGCCCCCTCATTGGCCAAACCCAATCAGAAATAAGGACCACAGAGCCTAGGTAAGGCAGGGGTCAGATCCGAGTGGGAAAATGATCTCAAGGGGCAAGCAGCAAGTGGTAATGCTGGGCATATTGAAAAGAATGACCAAATTTTCGATGGGATGTTAAAATGGAAGTTTTATGTTCTTTGAGGCAGCTTCAGGCAAGTAGCAGAGAAAATATGAGGAAAAGGTGAGCAAGCAATTAAGTGGAAGCTTGTGGAAAACATCATAGCAATCACCAGAGCCTAGGAGGAATGACGGTCAGTTCTGTGAGTCAAATTTGGGAAAGCTATGGTGAGAGGCATCTCAAGAATTCCATAGAAGCTATGATACGAAGCCCTTGTACAGTGCCAACTTATTTTCCTTTGCAAGAGTGGATTGTTTCAGGAAAAAAAAAAAGACTAGGGTGACAATAATACACAGGTGACTTTCTATTACTAAGAGATTCTTTGTTTTATCAAAATATTGAAACAAGGCTTTCTTTACATGATGTTTCTTGAAGTACTGTAAAATACTCTCTTTTTTCATACTGGTATTGTTAACTGCAAAAAAAAAGGTTTACACATGCAAAGAGTATTATATTTTTTGAATTTGTGGGTGCAAAGATAAGATGGTTGGGAAATTCTGAATATATAGAAGTAAAGTAATTCTTTAAAATAGCTCTATTCTTTAGCATAGTTTTGGTGATGATGATGACGACTAGTGAGTTCCCTCTGTCACCAATAGCATTCTTCTCTTGAAATGCTCCCATCTTAAAAGATTTATGTATATTTTCTTTATTTCTTCTTCTGTCATCTCTTTCATTGATCCATTCTGGTCTGTCTTTGGCCCTCATGACTTCAATAAAACTGCTCTCAACAAAGCTCTGTAAACTTCCTGTTGCCAGATCTAATGGACACTTCCTGGCATTATCTTTTTTAACATTTTATTGCCATATATTTGACAGTGTTAGTCGCTTGCTTTTTCTAGAAGCACACTCTTCCCTGGGCTACTTTGACACTACCTCCTCCAGTTCTTGTCTTCATTTCTTCTTCTGTTCTGGTTCCTCCTTCCTGCTTCCTCCATAGTCTCAAAGCTTTGTCTGAAAACCTATTTAAAAAAAATTTTTTTTTGGTCTCATTTCACAATCTCTGCCTACATAATCTCACCCATGCCAATGGCTTCAATTAGTATCTAAATATTAAATGTTCTCCAGTTCCTATCTCTACTCAGTACCCTTTTGAACAAGACTTGGGTGCCACCAGTATATAAAGAGATGGTAGTAAAAGAACCCCAAAAGGACCCTGTAAAGAAAGAGTCAGAAAATTAGAAGAACCCTAAATGGCCATGTCAAAGAGAATGTAAAAGAAGTGGTCAACAGTATCAAAAAACTGTGAAAAGCATTCATTAGAGGTCATTTTGGAAAGATGCAGTAGTTGATGGGGACAGGAGTCAGCCATCAAAGGTGAATTAAGTTTAGGTAACAAGGGAATGTAGGCTACTTTTTCAAGGATCTGGTCTGTAATGGGGACCAAAAGGTATAGCAAGATGTAGATAGTGACACAGGATCAAAGGATTATATTTTAATTACAGGTGAGACTTAACCATATCTATTAATTATGTGGGGTTGAACTAATTAATAAGAAATTATGGAAAATAAGAAGTAGAGAGCAATCATCAAGCAAACTATGTCTCAGGTCCAGTAGGGAGAAAGAATTTTCCATCAAAAGTTCAAGTTCACTTTCCATAGACCGAGCACTTATCATAATACCAAACATAATTGGCATTCCCCTGTGTTAGTCTATCATATTTTGTTTGGTTGGGTTATCTGTTATTGGGCATTAGATTGTTTTTAATTAGTCATTATGGTCATCATCATCCTTATCCCCACTAACATCTACTGACTGCTTACTGAATGCCAGGCATCAAGCTAACACGATGTGTGCGATTCTCTCTAATTTTTTCAGTAAACATACACTGTAGATGTTTTTATTCTTATCCTACTTTAATAAAAGAGAAAAAATTGGAGCTTGAGAGAGGTTAGAAAATTCTCCCAAATTTATTCAGCTAGTAAATGGAGGAGCAAGGATCAGAATTCAGTGATTTTTGACCCCTGAACCTGAGCTCTTAGCCACAATGATAAACCACCTCAAATTTTTGCTATGATGAATAATGGTGCTTTGAGTATCTTTGTGAAAAGTCCTTTTGAGATGAGGCCCTTAGAAAATTGTGAACCCTGGGCTGCCTTGATTTCCTTTATTACATCTCTCTTCTCAGTTACAACTTAAGATCAATTCAGGATATCTCAGCTCCCCAAGAAGAGCCAAGGTAAGGCCACATCTCAAGTTCCCTGCAAGACTAGGCTTGATTGAGCCTTCTCACTTTCCACTGTTTCACAAATTATCCAGTGCATAAGGGATGTGGTTCGTGGGATTCAGGAGAGCATCCAGTGATGTGGCAGAAAGACCAGTTGGCTGTGGTAGTTGATGGGACTGAGTAGAAACTCTTGATTGGTCCAAGGACCAGGCCCATCAAAACAGAGTAGAGCTGCACAGAGCTGTAGACCAGACTGGAGCCAGAGTCAAGGTTAAATCACTAAAATATTATTAGGATAATTAAGTCATTTAACTTAAGAGCATCTTGTAAGAGAGTGTATATGAAAAAAAAAGGCTTCCTTCCATGAGTTTACAGTTTTATAAGTGAATTGCAGAGATGTCCAGGGTGGGTAAGGCATTCTGGGTAGAGATTCACATGGGGGAGAAAAAAAATAGAGGCTAGAATTCAACAAATTATTTTATCAGTCCATCAGTCCATCACCCCCATAAAAATGCCAAGCAACTAGCCAATACTTATTTGCGAAATAGAGGCCATGATTATTTCTGATTATGAATACAATGAATATCTTCAAAACATATCAGGTCATAAGGAAGGGAGAAGGACAAAGAAGGAAACTGAGGTTATCTCGCAGGTCAGGGTAATGGGAAATATCAGGGGCCCCACATTGCCTGGTCTCCAGATAGAATTGCATTAAAAAAAGTAGAGTCTCTTATCTTACAAAAAAAAAAAAAAAAAAGAAGAAGAAGAAGTAATTACAAGGGCACTTCAAACCTCATTTGAGTCTTGTGAAGATAAAAGGTAATGAAATTCCTAGCTCACCCTCTAGCAACCTCCTCTTTCTCTGAGTGCCTCACTCACCCCCCACACGGTGCCACCAGATTTAAGGAAGCAAGCTATCTAGTGGCTTCTCTGTCTACTCTCCCTCAGATATTCAATGAGTAGTAGATCTAGTCTTTTTAATTATTTCCTTTTCTTTTCCTTTCTCTCTCCCTCCTTCCCTCCTTCCTTCCTCCTTTCTTCCTTCTTCCCTTCCTTCTTTCTTCTCTTTAGCTTCTTACCCAGATTCTCACCCACAAAGGTGAGTTCAGGAATGGACTCCACAAGAAAGTCTCCTTGCAGTCCACTCCATCTAAATCTCTGATTTTATAAGCCATGCAGTATGGCTAAAAGGAAAACAATGTTTGCCTGGAGGTCTACTGAGAAGATCCCTCCAGCAGACAAGTCAAGATCCCTCCTTGTGGAAAGTTTGGAAGAGGAAAAAAATTGGGAGGACTCAGAAGTTTAATGGATGTTGTCCTGGACAGTATACATTATGGGAAAACAAACAAACAAAGAGGCATTCAAATAGTTAATGTTCCAGACACCTCCCGAGGCTGGGACAATTTTGTAGAATGAACTGTTTTCCTAGAAGTGCTTAATAATGTAAAGATTAAAAAGGGTCTGCTTAGAGTTGAAGATTCATAGATGATCAGATTTTTCTAGGGTGAAAAATATTTTTTAGATCGAGAACTCCAGCAGGAAAAGATCTCTAGAAGATTTTGGAAACCCTCTTCCCACAGTCATGATCTTAGGCGTGATTCTTTTTCTTTTTTTTTAAAAGATTTTATTTGTTTATTTGACAGACACAGATCACAAGTAGGCAGAGAGGCAGGCAGAGAGACAGAGGGGGAAGCAGGCTTGCCGCTGAGCAGGGAGCCCGATGCGGGGCTCGATCCCAGGACCCTGAGATCATGACCTGAGCCGAAGGGAGAGGTTTTAACCCACTGAGCCACCCAGGCACCCCTTAGACATGATTCTTCTACCTGGAGCCTGCCCTTCATCATGGACATCTCCTGGCACGATCCTCAGGATTTCGGGAGGATGGCCGCTGCTAAGAGCCCGTGGGCAGGTTGCCTGTGGGCTCAGGGAGCGGAAACTGGACAGGGGCTCCACCAAGTCTCCATTACCCACCGTCTCAGACATTTGGATGGGGAACATTCGGTCCTGGGTCACCCCACCCGTTTAATGGGACAATAATAGTCCAATGTCTCATTTATTCTTAAAATTAGTGCCAAGCTTGGGTTACCCTTTGCTATTGTTGAAGGTGAAATGCTTAACATTGAAGAGGTGAGGGGTGATGGACGAGCTCAAAAACATTACCTTGTAATAAATCATCAGCTGGGTGGAACTGGTCCAAGCGACATGAAGGAGCTATAGAACGGAGTGACTGTGCTACTCAGGAAAATAAGCGATTTATCATGGAAAACAGCCACTGAACTGGAAGACTGGAAGGCTGCCAAGGTGATACCCATCTTTTTAATAGAACTAAAGGTGATCCCAGAAATTATACATCTGTGGACTGCATATTGACGCGAAGAAAAATGTCTTTACAATTAAAATGATCTCCCATATAGCCTTGCACGTAGTTTATAAAAATCACTTGGGCTACAAAATTGTCATTAGGTCTAGAAAATGTGCCTTTGCGCCACCCACGTTATCTCTCCCGGAATCTCCTCCCATGCACACAGCCAGGAGAGGCCCAGGTCCCTGGTTGAGTATACAACCTCTGGGCACACACGTTTGTGAATTAAATAGGCCAATACGTGTTATGCCCTGGGCACAGGGTAGTGTGGTCTGGCACAAAGATGGCATGTAAAGATGTTTGGTGTTGCTGATGTGTTGTTACTGGTCATACACACAAACATTGAAAGGCACATGCATAATTGTGCTGATGTGCCCAGCCGTGCTGCCCATTTTATTTCCTTCTCACTTGTGCCATTATTAGCATTTTCTTCTCCTTCCACCTAAGCTGCGCTGTTCATCTTCACGTCTTATTTATTTTATAACTGCAGGTTTATACCTCTTAATCACCTTTACCTATTTTGCTCTTCCTCCCACTTCCCTCCCCTCTGACAACTATCAATTTGTTCTCTGCGGTTATGAGTCTGTTTCTGTTTGTTCTTTTGTTCATTTTGGTTTGGTTTTGTTTTAGATTCCACGTATAAGTGAATTCATATCCTGTTTGTCTTTCTCTGTCTGACTTATTCCATCTGGGCCCCGCCCTCCCTCCATGTTGTTGCAATTGGTAAAATCCCATTCCTTTTTCTGGCTGAGGAGTATTCCATTGCATACATAAACCACATCTTCTCTGTCCATTCATCTGTGGACGGACACTTGGGTTGCTTCTATACCTTGGGTATTGTAAATGATGCTGCAGTAAACATATGGGTCCATATATATTGTTATGAATTGGTGTTTCCATTTTCTTTGGGTAAATCCCTAGTAGTGGAATTGCTGGATGCTATAGTCGTTCTATTTTTAATTTTCGGAGGAACTGCCATCCTGTTTTCTAGAGTGGCTGCACCAGCTGGCATTGCCACCAACAGTGCATGAGGATTCCCTTTTCTCCCCATCTTCACCAATACTTGTTACTTCTGTTCTCTTTTATTCTAACCATTGTGTGTGGTACATATGATCTCTCATTCTCCTTTTGATTTGTATTTCCCTAACGATGAGTGATATGGAGCATCTTTCCATGTGTCTGTTGGCCGTCTGTATGTCTTTGTTGGAAAAATGTCTGTTCAGGTCTCCTGCCCACTTTTAAAATCAGATTTTTTTCTCTTTTTTTAGCATTGAGTTGTAGAAGTTTTTTTTTTTATATATATTTATATATTTTGGGTATTAACCCCTTATGGGATATATGATTTGCAAATATTTTCTCCCATTCAGTAGGTTGCCTTTTTGTTTTATTGATGGTTTCCTTTGCTGTGCAAAGGCTTTTTTATCTTGGTGTAGCCCCAATAGTTTGTTTTCATTTTTGTTTCCCTTGCCTGAGGAGACATATCCATAAATACACTACTAAGGCCGATGTCCAAGAGATTATTGCCTGTTTTCTTTTAGGAGTTTTATTGTTTCAGGTCTCACATTTAGGTCTTGAATCCATTTTGAGTTTAGCACTTCCGTCTTTCATCCTGCATGGAGGATAAGGACATTTTATCTTAAGGATGAAATACAGCAGTATTTAGGCCTGGTATTATAGTAATCTAGAGACAACAGCTGCCTCACAGGGGTGATGATCTGAAGAAGCAAGAGTGAGTTGGAAGGAAAACCTTTGAACTGTATTATATGAAAAAAAGAGGAATGGAAGCCATCAAAATGATCTCCAGAACGATGAGGCAAGAAATGTTCTTTTGTAATCCACTGTCATTAAATTTACTCAAGCTGAAATCTAAGTAGGGGAGCAACTTCATAAGTGTTGACCTTCAACCGTTGTCCCGTTAATTCTCCTAAAGATCCTGGGAGGAAGAGCATCATCTCTATTTTAAAGATGGTGGACTTGAGATGTCCAAGTGGCTAGCCCAAGGTCACACTAGGCAGTAGCTGGAAAGGATGGGCTCATGCCTTTTGTACCACATCGAACTGCACACTCTAAGTACCTGATGAACACAGTGGCAGTTTCTCCAACACTTTACAAACTTTCTGAGAGCTACGGTAGCAGTGAAGAACTCCCTGCATATAATTTATTTAAACACTGGAAAGTCTCATGATACATTCTCTCAGTAGAACTTGTCAATGAAGCTGAGTCACAGAAGGTAATCAGAAAGTCTGTTGTGGATTAAATGGACAGGGGAAAAAAAACTCATTATTTTTCAATGACAAGTATTTATCAAGGAAGGATCAAGAGGGAAGTGGCCCAAGAATGTAGATTAAGCTTAGTGTATATACACCACCTATATTGATGACTCAGGAGACAAGGGGAATAATAAGTATCAATATTTGCTGATGATCCATTTTTAGGGTAAGTTAGGAAAAGGAAATACGCTGAAAGTTTCCAGCAAACATGAAATGCCAACCTAAAACCAAGGAAGAGCTTGACAGGTAAATTAAATTTTATATAGGCAAGTGCCAAGCAGTATATATACATTGAACATAGGCATGTGCACATATACATTTACTTCATTTGATGAAACATTTAATAGGTCTTTATCCAAGCTGTATACACCTCTCAGGACAAACACAGAAGATTCACTTTTTTAAGAATTGAGTAAAATTAGCTACTTCATAGAAAAAAAAATGGGTCTAGACAACACTTACACTAATAGTAGACCATACAAATTAAGAAGCAGACCCAAATGTTGCACTCTGCCTAATAGCGTCACGTACAGTTTTCTAAATCCGTTGTGTGCTCACATACAGTTTTCTAAATCCGTTGTGTGCTCACATTTTGTTTACATGTTTCCTTTTATCACTCATCTCACAACTGAAACAGCAGCAAGACAAAACAACAACAAAACAGTCCAGGGATGTGTCATGAAATCTGTAGGCACGGCGAGGCAGGGGAGTAACTCCTCCAAGAAGAAAGATAAGAGCCGTGAATATAGATACAGAAGCAAGCAAAAGGACACGCCAGAGAATGTACTGTGGGAAAGAAGGGCTGGTGTTAAGAAAACAAGCTGGATACCCTTATTTTCTTTCCTCAGTTGTGAAGAAACCAAGGAGGGAGCTGGGGAAAACCAAATGGCAGCAAATCTAAAGGGAGAGAGGGCACCCGATTCTCCACATAGCGTGTAATTCCACCGAGAGGCTCGTTTGGTTTCAGCTAGATTCCGACATTTGGGGGAAGATTGAGAAAAGGATTTTCTCAGCTAGAATAGTCCTGGCATCTTATTGCCAAGAACAAAATTGCAAGGACGCTCAACTCCACTGTTTCAGGACACACACGGCTGATCACCAGCTGGGGACTGGGAGGAATGGCCCCCTGTAGTCCCGTGTCACACGATTAGGTGTATTACAGGGGTTTTCCATCTTCAGAACTGTGCAGCGTCGGAGAGAGGGCACCAGACTTCCTGCTTCATTGCGCCTTTCCGGTTTGGTAATGATGATGTCCCCACGCCCATCTTTTAGGTTTTACAAGTTTCGATTCACAAGAGTGCTGCTGAATAGTACAACGTCGGAGCTACGCCTCTCAACCTGTTCCTGCTATGAAGTTCGCATAAACCATTGAGAGAAGTCTGGCTTCCGTCAAAGGGTTTCCCTGCCCTGGGGTACGGTCGCCTGCTTCATTCACTGCGTCCTCTTCTGAGCCACTAAACTGATTCTTGTCCAACCCACCAGCTCTCCTGCACTGCCACTTGCCTTAGCCAAGTCCTTTGACTGACTGACCCGAGAGCAAGTGTTGGTAGAAAGAAAATAAACAACAGCAACAAAAAACATCTTGGCTTTTGTACAATTGAAAGTTGCTACAAAAAGTCTCCTGTCCGTTTCCTTGAATGCGGTCCTACCATTCCTTTGGTTCTTCTTTACGAAAGGATTCTGATTTACCACGTGCTGAGACAGGAAAGTGGATTCTCTCCGTTCCCTTTCTCTCTGATTGGCCACACTGGACTCTTCAGGTGAATTCTGCACTGCCCACCTGTTACCCAAAACCACGCCTGCCTGGTGGTGGGTGTCTAGCCAAAAGCCACCACCGAGCCAGAGAATAGGAAAAGGAAAGGTTTTTAGTTGCACCAAGTTAAGCACACCCGGGATATTTCCCAAAGCAGTGTCTCCCCTCAGGGGTTAGTGCCAGAAGCTTTTCCTCAGTGTGCCAAGGGGGCGGGAGCAGGAGGCTTGCATATGCATTAGGGAAGTCACCCATATCGTATTTCTTAGGCGTCTAGTGTAAGTGTGCCGTGCACGTGCTCTGCATGTTAACATGCTAGTACATATGCTGTATGATTATAAACAACTGGGAAACTGTACTCACATTCCTTAAAACACTTCGTCGTTTGTCAACCTCTCTTCTACATCCTGTGCACGTCAACTTTTTTCTTTCTTTCTTTCTTTCTTTCTCTCTCTCTCTCTCTCTTTCTGTTTTCTCTTTTTATCGGGAGGGGGGTGGGATTCTGATGGTTACTGTGAGCCATTCCAGGCCTTTGCATCTAAGTATCATTTTTATCCCTCTCCACCTCCATTTCTAACCGAGAAGGAATTTTTCAATCTTTGAAAACACATCAGGCTGAGTATTTGAATAAATGGTTAACTGCTGTGTGCAAACAGTTTTCATTGGTTCCCTGTTGCCAGAGTGGAGCCTCTTTCCTGTCAATTATTGGGGCCGGTGATTACAGTGACTAATGCGAAGCCTACAGCCATTCTCCCCCACGCGTCCATCAATACCGGCATGAGGGCATATAAATGGGATCAGGTGGGAAAAGGCAATAAGTCATATTTGATAGAAGCTTCTTGTTTTTTTTTTTTTTCTTCTTTTTTTCCCTCTGAGTTATCTTATAAAAGGCTATTTCTGTGTTGGTCCAGACTGGCAGTATTACACAGGATAAGGACTTGTGGATTGACAAATTTGTATCAGTATTCATATTTCTTGGACCCTTGGCTGAAAGAAACCAGATAAATCTCGAGAGGATTGCTGAACAAAAGTAAAGGACAGTTGGGTACCGTTTTGGGGGAGCCAATTGGGAAGGACAGATACGTTTTTCCTTGCAAAACGTGGATAAAAAAGATCTAAGTGTAATGATTTGTTTGTTTGTTTTATATGAGCACAAGTTGAGTTGAACATGAAAAATGTATTTCAGTACCACTTGGTAAATTTCATTCATTTCCGGTTACCTGGGGATAAATAACATTTGACAGGGCAGGAACCGGGTGATGTTTTATAATAATATCATTGTCTACAGTCCCTGTTCAGTAGAGCTGTTGTGGGGCAGAGATAATGTGTCATCTCAATCAACAGGGATGTGGAGTGGGTTTTAGGTCCTTAAAAAGTTGTACCTGGGAGGAAATAATAGTTGAAATTGATGGCGTTCTGGTAGCAGTGATTATCTTTGGGTGAGGGATTTTGACAGCAGAGACAAACTTTGTTTTGGGGAAGTCACTCATCAGACAAGTCAGGTAAGACTTTTTCAGAGCATGTGGGCTTCTGATTATAAAAATCTGAGCAGGTTTGATAATAGGAAAGGAATACCTGTCACTCCAAGATGACGTACGATAGCCTCGCACTGGCATATCACTTGGGCTGTTTTTAAATTCCCAGGACACTGCATTTCCTGAAAACAGATTTACTAAAAGTTAAATCGGAAACCTACATGAGTCAACAAAGTCTCCTTTGTAATCCCTCCCATTAGAACCTCTACAATTCTGCTTCAGAACTCAAATTAAAGAAGAAAATGTGAGGAAAGCAGGTGGGAAAGCAGTGCACATACTCTTATGGTATTTGTGGTCATTTATTATGTTCCTCCGTTGCAGTGTAGCAATGCGGGTCTTGTTAATCCTTTTCCACTTGCTGAGAAACTTCTCCTTTGGAACGCTCCTTGCCCCAACCTTATCATTTGAAAACTGGATGTTCATTATCCATTTTCGCGCTGACTGTCCCAGTTGTCATGGCTACCGCCACTTTGTTTCCTTATCACCTATAATCCTACAGTTCCCCATTACTAGCAGTTGTAATAGATTGTTCTGGCTTCACATGCAAAAGAAAATATATGGGGACTGAGTAAAGTGTGCAGACCCTGGATGTCACTTAATACCATTAAGGGAGCAACAGAAATCTAGAACTTTCCTTAAGAATTAACATCAACAGAATGAGGGGTAAGACAAGTGTTGGAGAGAAGGATAGCACATTTAATGGTGCTCATGGGCCAAATGTCAAATTCCTATTTTTAAATCAAAATGTTATGTAGTGTTTGGAAAGATAACCAATAGCGGTACTCTTATATTTACTCTGATTCATATTTGAATTATAACATCCATTTGCCAGCGTACAAAAGGGCAATTTATTATTTCATAAACAGCCATGTTAAGAGCCACTGTTCAGTTCTTTGTTCCCACTTGCAATTCCTTAGCATACAGGGGATTTCTCCTGCCTTCTAATGAGGATGTTGTGTGTCTCCCTATCTGGAACCCTGAAGATGACAGTTTAGGAATAAAAAGGATCAAAGTGAAAGAAAATACTAATCTACAGTTAATGAGTACAGAATAAAATTTGAAACTTCTATTGATGGTATTAATTTAAAGATTACAATTAAAGATGGTATTAATTTAAAGATTACAAAGGAACATGGATATCAGAATTTAGATGAAATCAATGGGAACTGTTTTCCAAAACTAACAGAAGTAAGTACATCATTTTAAATAAAAATCCAATGTAGTAAAAAGCAGCAGTGTATGATTTCAACTGACAAAAAACAAAACAAAACAAAAACCACACAAGACAAAACACACACACAAAAAACCTTACACAAATGAGCCCGGTCCTTTTTTTTTTTTTTTAAGATTTTATTTATTTATTTGACAGAGTGAGAGAGAGACCATAAGAGAGGGAACACAAGCAGGGGTAGTGGGAGAGGGAGAAGCAGGCTTCCCACTGAGCAGAAAGCCTGACACGGGGCTCAATCCCAGGACCCTGGGATCATGACCTGAGCCTAAGCCAGATGCTTAACAACTGAGCCACCCAGGCCGCCCAGGCTGGGTCATTTTAATTAGGGTTTTCACTTCAAATATTTTTGTAACTTTTATGTAGAGATTAACTTTATGTAGAGATTAATTTTCCTTTTTACATCTGGATAAAATACTTGTTTGCTATAATAGTTGATATCGTATTATATAAAATCATTATTTAGCATTCACTTGGTTGTGTTGTGCATAGAATCAAATTGTTGCTCGTCTTTTAATCCCATTTTTCCCCCTTTTGGCAAACTATCAGCACTTTGCGGAAAAACAAAAACATGAACCTCAGGATGTTGTGGTCTTCTACAGGACACGGTTGAAGGAAGCCCATAATTCATTCTGACATTTCTTCAAAGGGGAAGGTTTCCAAAGTCATCATTATTGGACCAATAACAATGTTGCACTTCTGCAGAAGTCAGTGGGGCCACCCTAAGATATACAGGCTGCTCTAAACACTTTGACCCTTTTCATCCACATATTTTCCTCTTCATCCCCTGCACTCTCTCTACAAAGGAGCACACATCTCCTGCTTTATTAAGACAAAAGCCAAATGATGTGACCAATGTCATCATTCTTCATTTTTGCCCCCAAATGTCTCTACATCGTATTTATACTTTAATTTCCATTATCTAGCATAATGCTTGGACTTACAGAAGATACTCCGTATTAAATGAATAGCATGGACTCCTGCCATTCCAACATTGTTTTATGAATCACCTTTTCTTCCCCATGAATCTTCAGTGTGTCCAGTGATTTCTGTGTCTTTGTTCAAGCCCCTTGGCCTAGAAACACACCCTAAACTTCCCAATCTTTAAAACATAAACACAAAAACAAAACAAAACAAAAATCCTTACTTTATACTCTGCTAAAATGGAAAAAAAAAATCAGGACTTATGAAAACAAAGTTCTTCCCATCTATCCCAAACAACATTTTGGAATGAATAGTTCCCCAGTTTCTCAAGTCTGAAGACTTGCGTTCTCACTCAATTTTCACTACTCTACTAACGATGGGGTCTTCACCAAGATTTTCAACCTCTCTAAAGTGTTCTCTTTTGTGAAAATAAAAAGAAAGAGTTTCCTTCATTAGATTCTTGTGAGGATGAATTTTTCATGTACCCACAGTAGTGTAGCACACAGCCTAACACATGGTAAGAACTTGGAAATTGGTAGCTCGTATTATGAGTTCACTCTGTAGTTATTTATGAGGTGCTACTCTAAGGCAGGCACTGTACCAGACCGTGGGGGTGCCTCGAGGGATGGCACTGGCTGGGGGCCTGCTTGCCTGGAGCATTTCGTCCTGGCCAGCATTTTCCAGATGTCAGCATGTTTCAGTATCACCTGGAGCACGTGTAAGAACACAGATTGTTGGCCCTGCCCCCAGAGTTTCTCATTCAGTAGATCTGGGATAGGACCCAAGAATTTGCATTTGCATTTCTTCCTTCCTGCCTGCCTGCCTTTCTTTCTTCCCACTATTCCTCCCTCTCTCCTTCTCCCTTTCTTTCCCTCTTTCTTTCTTTCTTTCTTTCTTTCTTTCTTTCTTTCTTTCTTTCTTTCTTTCTTTCTTCAGAGAAGGGGACATTCCTGAGGTTCAGTTGGTTAAAGGACGTCTCTTGAAAAAGAAACTACCAGAATTGAGCTCTGAACAATAATATCTCCTTATAGTTTTCTTGCAAATACTAAGGGAGCTAATCAATTTGAAGGTTTAACACAGTGTCTTAACCATGGAAAACAAACGACAAATTTCTGCTCCCCCTGCTTGTATGCTCTCTCTCTCTCTGTCTCTTTCTCTCTCTCTCTGTCAAATAAATAAATAAAATCTTTAAAATCTTTAAAAAAAACAAAACAAAAAGTTGCACCTCGGTGCCTCAATTGGTTAAGTGTCTGCCTTTGGCTCAGGTCATGATCCTGGGATCGAGCCCCAGGTCACATCCGACTCTCTACTTAGCAGGGGGTCTGCTTCTCCCTCTCCCTCTGCTGCTCCCTGTGTGTGTGCTCTCTCTCTCACTCTTTCTCTGTCAAATAAATAAATAAGATCTTTAAAAAAGACAACCACCAACATATGGTATCTATGAAGACAATGATGAGGGAAGAAAGACGAGAGGGAGAGTGGGTAGATAGAGAGGCTGGTGATTGTCAGTGAGCAGAAGGCATCTAAGCAGACAGTAGATTTTAGGATAAGCAGTGCATGATGGAAGAAAGTTAAAATAGAGGACTCATTCTGAGGGATCAGAAAAACAGAGAGGTCCGTCCATGTGGAGAATAAGGACCTTGAGTGTCAGCCTGCTGCTCTGAGATGACTTTTCTAAAGGCTGTGAGGAGCCATGACACTTGATGGGCTCTCCTTGCAGACTAAGGGGGCTTTAATCTTCTCACCAAGACAGGCACAACGTGTACCTGCATTTCCCCAGCACAACATGGTGCAAAGAAAGATTCAGACAAACAAACAATAATTTGTATCTAAAGTTGTCTATTAAATGGACTGACAGTTTGCCTTTCTAGCAGTTACTTTTTCTCATTTGTTATAATTTGCATTTCTAACAAGCAAAGATGAGCCTCTGTGATACTCCTCCAGGAATAACTCTTTGAGAATCACTGGTCTAGGCTATTATGTTCACTGTTGTTGATGTGGTCTTTATGCCTGCCTCTCTTTTGTTGGCACCACCATATCTCCAAAAATTCAGATGGGAAAACTAAGAGGTATCCCTTAGTCTTACTTTCTTACTGCCTCCTCTTTTTTCTTTCTTTCCTTCCTTCCTTCCTTTTTTTTTTTTTTTTTTTTGTCTTTTAAAAATCTCTTTCTAGGAATGATATGAACTCTTTATAGCTAGTCTTTTAATTTTGCCCTTTTCCCCACATACTGCTTCCAGATTAATATTCTTTTTTTTTTCTTTGAAGATTTTATTTATTTATTTGAGAGAGAATGAGTGAGAGAGAGCATGAGAGAGGAGAAGGTCAGAGGGAGAAGCAGACTTCGCAAGGAGCTGGGAGCCCGATGCGGGACTCGATCCTGGAAATCCTGGATCATGACCTGAGCTGAAGGCAGTCGCTCAACAAACTGAGCCACCCAGGCGCCCTCCAGATTAATATTCTTAAAACAGACTTGAAATATCTCAGTTCTATGCCCCAAAACCTTTTCTGATTCTATCTTGCCTTTAAAAAAAAAAGACCATCTGAATTCATGACCTGAGACATTTCAGACTTCAGCGATCTGGCCTCCGTAATTACTCTGCTAGAGTAAGCAAAACTCCACTGAGTTTTGAGACATTTGAGCTTGATTGGAGGAAAAGAATATTTCCAGGAAATGAAAGGATGTGTGCTCATTGGTGTGAAATGGTCTCATGGATTCATCTGGGTTGCCTCTAGAAGTTTACTTTCGCCAAACCACCATTTCTCAGGGCTCCTCAGATCATTCACTCACATTCCTTACAAATGCAGATTCCTTGGCTGACACCAATTCCAACCTCCCCTCCCCCGTCCTCAGGATTTAACAGTTCTCATTTTTAAACAAGCTCCTTCAGCTCAAGAGTGAGACAACCACTGCTCTAGATCAAGATCAGGAAGGAGATAAATGTAGAAATATCAAGTGAGACCAGGTTTTAAG